GCCTATGATGCCTACAAGTATCTTTCATAAATTAATGGAGTGCTAGTAAACTCATAGATGTTTTAAGGAAATATTTGATGACTACGTAACTTAATAGAAGCTGTAAAGAAAGAAAAAACAATATACTGACATCAGAAACTACTAACTACTGAGGTATGAATCATGACAATAATCGTTGTCCATATTCCTTGAAGATTTCATAGTCAGCAGCTATAAGCAACTGCAATAGTAAGTTCAAATTGCTTACAAGCTACAACCTAAACTGTCCTAAATCAATGTAACGAAGGCTCTTTGCCAGAAATCTCTGGCCTGTTGGAGAGCTCATGCATATGCCAAATAGACTTTATTAAAGATCAATATCTCTATACCCATGTAAACTTGAACAGAAGTATAGTTGAAAACTTGAACACCATACGCACACAGACACACATATTGGAGATAGAACAATATTCCAGCTGAAATTCAATGGCAACAAAGTATAGAAAGACTTGTAGCTCACCATAACTGATAATTTTTTGAGTTAGCCTTTGCAATATCTTCAGTGAAATCAAGTTCATTCTGTAAATCAGCACTAAGCGTCTTCAGTATTAAACGCCTGAAATGCCAAACCTGCACAGAAGAAAAAGACAATTTGAAAGCAGCAATACGAATTTGGTCCGTATTTCGCGACTACCCAACATCCAATTGATACCAAACTACTTAGTAGAGTTATCTTTTTCAGTTTCCAAATTTTCTCATCAACCAAAGAAACAAAAATGAAAAAACCCACTAAAACTATGGGATTTTGAATTATGATCAACTCCTAATGAATGACAAGATACTAAACCTCGATAAGTACCTTCCTTTCACACTTTCCTAGTATTTATCAGCAACCAAACAAAGGAAAAAGAAAAAAAAACCTCCAACGATATAAAATAGAAAAGGAAAATCCTCAGTAAAAGTTTTTGGGTATTTCAAGGTAGACTTTCAAGTAGAGACACTAACACTATTAATGTCAGAGTACACAAAATCTCACTTTCCCAGACTTTCTGAGCAACCAAACAGAGTAACCCCTTCCTGCCCCACCCAAACAAATCTCAAAAAACTGGAAAGCGGAAAAAGATACAGAGATTGGGATTCAGGGACGAAGCTCACAGTGTAGTTTCCTGAGTTCAATTTGATGGCTTCCGTGGTGAGCTGAAGGGCACGAGGAGATCGCTCATCGGCTCTGTATAGGGCTCGGAAGTAGTTCATGGTCTCTGTGAACTCTTCCTTGTAGGCTATGGGGACGACCGGGTTCGGGCCGTCGTCTTGCTCAACCGGAACCACGTCCGACCACTCCGGTCTATTCTTAAATGGGACCCACTCTTGTTCTTCGTCCGAGTCCATCTCTCTCGCAGCTTCTTCCTTTCCCTTGAGTCGATGAAGAGAGAGAGAGAGAGAGAGAGAGAGAGATATATATATATATATCGGTGAGTCTTCCTTTCTGGACTCTGATAAAATCATACCACATTATAGTCATTTTCAACAAAACAATAAAATTGGTTGTAGTCATTATTGTTCGTTGATGTAAGTCCTTTGACTATTTTGATAAGCTTTATTTTTCAATGTAATAAGAGCATCTACAATTATGTTCCTTATTTCTTAGCTAAAATTTAGTTTAAAATACAGAAAAAAAAAGAAAAAAAAAAGAAGAAGCTATTTTAAAAGCTGTCTAACAAATTTCAACTCCAACCATACTCCCTAATTTGATAAGCTTTACTCCAACCATACAGTAAAGTACTTCTTTTTAAATTTAATTCTTGATTTGGAATAAAATGTTCATATTCAAATACTGAATATTCCCAAATAATAAACTACAAAAACAATTTAAATTTAACTCTCCATTCATTTTGCAAGGATTTCCATTTGGCATCCCTTATAATAATTTTCTAGCATTGGAGGTATCCCAATTGTATCTTGTGACATTATCCTTTCTTCCTCTTGCTAAATTATGTTTGATACATGTGTAGGGTGCTCCTAAACAATTGAATGGCTAAACGTGTGGGTAATACGTGATGAGGTGCATGAAGGACATTTGTGGAGATCAATCGCTTGAATTTTGAATTAAGGTACTAATTAGAATTATGTATAAGTTTTTGTTTTTAAGATTAGGTTGTGATATATAATGAAATTTATCGATGTTACTTTATTGTTGATTGTTTTAACGTTTAATGCACTATTTTAAAGGCATTGTTTAACTATCACCTATAGTTTATTTGGAGCATGCGAAAAAGAGTTGGCATTTGAAGTCGCTTTTATATGTTGGAAAAAAAAGAAGTCACTTTTATGTGTTGTAATATGAACTGCATACATTTGTCAATGAACTTCAATTGTCAAGGAGTTGAAATTTGGTAGACTATACATTTATTTGGGATTGTGCACATTTTGGATTTTGGTTTAATGCTAGGGATTTGATGTTGGTGGAGTCGGTTTGTTGCTCCAATAATGAGACCTATAAGTTTATTTCAACTCGCAGTAGGTGGAGTCAGTTTGTTGCTCCATTAGGTTACATCTTCGAGTTCCACTTGTGTGCTCCAATGGTTTGTATTTATATTTGTTTCAAAATAACACAAATTTATCAATAAAATGTCCTCAATGAGCATTGAACCCATGTGACTAGACAATATTACCACACTATACCACTAAACTAAGCATGTTTTCTTGAAAGATTTTTGTGCTCATTACTTTTATATGTTGATTGATGAATTTTTGTTAAAAAATTTATTTTATGGTATTAAGTATAGTTTGTTTGTTTATTTATTTATTTGTATTTTCGTGTTAGATCATGTGAGGGCTCCAGTACATGTTAATTCAAATGTGACCCACTTCGGCCCCTTGATCTAAACCACCATCCTCGCACCCTAATGACCATCCCGACAACCCATATATGTTTCTTTTAAGGGTCATGTGTCCCAAGGATGACAATGATGTAATTCTGTATTTTATTGGTTTACTTAGTACCAATATTGTACATATACCTAATATTTTTTTAAGGATAATTCAATCATTCAAAAAACTAAATATATAGTTGACGATTTATCATCAATTTATCTTATATGGTACTTGTTGCCCATTTGGTACCAATCAAGGTTTCTACACTTGACTTGAAAAAGAAAAAGAAAAAAAGGATATGCAATTGGAATAAGAAATACAAATTTGATTTTGAAAAAGATTTCAAAGAAATTAAAATTTCTATACGAAAAATCCTCTCACATCTAGAGACTAATCAAAGCTTGTGGAAAATAAAAAAAATCAGGAAAAAGACTTTAATTTTTGTTTTAGCTACCCATCTATCTGAGGTTTTCTTGGTGTCATACATGGAGAAATTGAATTTAATGGTTTTTTAACGGAAGGGGAAGGTGAAGGGAATGAGGCATGGGTGAGATTGGTGTGGGATTGTTGGGTTGGTTTTTTTTTTTGCTAAATTTAATTTTTCTATTTTTTTTAGCCCATGTCACGAAATTACTAAAGCACTCTTACCACATCCATTTTGATGACATTTTGGATGGACTTTACGATATGGGGAAGGTGAAGCTAAAGGTGAAGGGGAATTAGACATAGGCGAGATGGGTGTGGCATTGTTGGGTTGTTTTGTTTTTTTAAATTTAATTTACCCGTTTTTTTAGCCCATGTCACAAAATTAATAAAGCACTCTTGCCACATCATCCATTTTGACAATATTGTGGACGAACTTCATGATATGGGGCAACATGGAATGCCAAACCATGATTAAAGGGTGCAATGTGGAACGCAAACCCTGGTTAAGGGGTCAAATGGGTCACTTTGACTTTTAAGAGGAAAGTGAAATTTGACAAAAGTGTTAAGGCATTAATGTAAATGAGTCAATGTTCCAATCAAAACAAGATTTACGATGCTTAATGTTTGTAATTAAAACTGCTCTATAGTACTATTAATAGTACTGTTAATATACAATGGATTTTGAGACACTGCATTTTGATGCATTTGGGGTAAATCCTTCCTTTAATCTAATGTCTCAAGTAGCTCCACATCAACATAAATTTTTAGGTCAAGTTCACCTTATTTTTTCTCTTTCTATCTCTCTTCTTCGATCTATCTTCTCCCATTAACCAAAAATCTCATTCTGTTATAAAAAAAATAATCAGAGTATGAAAAGTACCATTGAATATTAGGAGTGGAATTGTATTAGCTCTTGTGGTTTTTACACTGACAAAATTTCCTCTCAGATAGAACTCACTAACTCTCAGATTTCTCACTCTCTTTTTGTTCTCTCAACTCAATGTGTTTTCACTTCTCACTTCTTCTCTCTACCTCTTGGCTTGTGTTCCAAATAAGGAACTAGCCTCCTTTTTATAGTTGAGCAAGGAAGGCTTGAAAAGCCTTTGTATTTCCTGCTACGGCTGACAACATTATTTGCCCAACATCATCATTTGCTTTTTGAATATTATTTTCTTCTTTTCTTTATGTGGGTTCCACCACTTTCTTTAAAACACTCCCCCTTGGAGACCAAATGTCCCTAGATTGGCTGCCTCATTAAAACCTTGCTTGGAAAATCCCAGTGGGAAAAAACCTAAGTAAAGGAAAAAGAGTACAACTTCATTTGGGACATAAGGGTAATGTTAAATGCGCTCATGTTGCCTCGTTAAAACCTTGCTAGGAAAAATCCAGTGGAAAAAACCTTAGTCGAAGGAAAAAGAGTACAACGCGCATGTCCTGTGTTAGAGGACTTGAATGCTCCCCCTGATTTTGCATGCTCCAATTTGATTGCTTTTAGAGTTGACGTAATCCGATTCCATGCACTAGCTTTTGGAATGTACATTTTGGCAAAGATTTGGTGAAGAGATCTGCCAGGTTATCGTTTGAACGGATTTGTCTGACTTTAATTTCATGACTCTTCTGAAGCTCATGTGTGTAGAAAAACTTTTGTGATATGTGCTTGGTCCTGTCACCCTTGATGTATCCTCCTGTGATTTGAGCAATACAAGCTGCGTTGTCCTCATTCAGGATGGTTGGAGTGTCCGCTGCTGAGGGTAAAGCACATATGCTTTGGATGTGATGGATCACCGACCTTAACCAAACGGATTCACGACTGACTTCATGGAGGGCAAGTATTTCTGAGTGATTGGAAGATGTGGCTA